TATATTATGATTTTTTTGTCAGTAGATGGAAAACCTTAATGCCATAGCATTAAATATTTGGATAAATCAAAGTTAACTCAACAACTCTACCTCGATGACTATTTTATCTTTTATTCAATATATAGACTATGAGACCTTTTTTATGGGCATCTAAAAATGCCATAAAGTCCATAAAGGTCGGACGCGAATATTTTATATTGCTTATCAAACCTCAACACAAGCCAAAAGTATCATTTTGCAAAAACTTCAAGATGAAATATCATTTTTAAGAGAAAATCGAAGTTAAAGTCGTATATAAATCAGGACAATTCTTTTTGCTCATAAAAAGATGCGGTCACTACAATGATCTTCCATTGTGTTTACCTATGAATTTATTAATGAATTTGATAACTGTAAAACATGGATGGGTATAGTGCAACCGGTGTCCAACGCAACAGACGTGCGACTTACAGCAGCTATAACAATGGTTGAAGAATGAGTCTATCAAGCGCTAAGTAATAAAAAAACATGGYTTTAAGTACACAGAGACAAGCAAAATGGAAAAAAGCGGCAGATCAATAAGATTATATTTCAGTCTCTCTAAAGTAACTAATAGTGCTAAAAATCCGTTCCCTGTAATTTTTGATCGTTTATCATGTGCGCATGCTACCAAACGTTTAGCACAGCAACGGACTCTTTCCATTCATTATTTTATCCAGAAACGTTTATCAATTTACCGACTCTGTAAATCTACTGTAAATTATTCAATTTACAGACAAAATTGATTGTTGAAAGTTGATTTTGCAAGATATTTTTGATCGAGCAACATTTACAAGATATTTGCAGAATGTACATAAAATTTACAAACGTTGTAAAAATGCATTTAGTCTGTCAATTAAATTTACAGTATATTTACAAAMYYYTTWAAMYWAWYMAMYTTTTCCAGAATAGCATTGATCCGCCATATTGGAAATAACATCGGACACAGCAAGCCCAAGCTATTTTCTTTYCATATCAAACAGCTGTTCCGTCGATTTTGTAGRAAAGAAAGGAATATTRCAATGGTATAAGCCTGTCTGTACAWCTCATTATGTTATATTACTTTTAAGGCCAGTAAAATGTAATTAAATATACGAGCTTTTYGGATCAATAGTCGTACTTAGATCAGTAGACGTTATATATCTACAACTCAGTCATAAAAAAGTACAAAGCGAATATATAAAAGGACTAAATTTGATGTGTACTTCTCTATTTTGATCTTTTTGATGGATTGCTGCATCTTTTTGCCAAAATAAACTACTTTTTTGACAAGAATATTACATATATTCTTGCCATTAGACCTCATTATTTTTCCTCAACTTTTTAATCGGGTGAGTCGAGAAAAAAACTCATTAAATCTCKTTTCCCTTAATTCTGATCACAAAGTACCAAAATAAGTTGCCTTCATAAATGACATAAAAGTAATGACGAATACCACCAAAACGGAAAAAAGACGAGAAGAAAAATGCTTAAAATGAAAAAGAAAATGAAGAATGAAAAAAGAAATACATTAAKGAAGAAGAAGACGTGTAGTGCAGAAGCAGGACAAAAGGAAAAGTTATGGGAGGGGAGGGTGGAGTTACCCGTAGTAAGCCTAAATTATTGAACTAGCTGTAGATTTTGTCCTTATAAACAAACACATTACCCCAGTCGCTACGCCATTCAAATATATAAAAAGCAGGAAATAGCTGAAATGAAATGAAAACTTATGAGAAGTAGAAACCAAGAAAAAAAGTCACAGAAATAAGAACAAAAAGCAAMAGCAGAAAATTGAGGAAATCAACGGAAAAAAGCGGAGAAATAAAGGAAGAGAACGAAGAATAATAAGATGTCGACGAAGATGATAGAGAGGGGAAAGAGGGGAAAAAAAGCATCTTTACACCCCTAAATAAAAGTCAATGCTTCTCAAAGGAGTTAAAACAACATTGCTAAAGAAATTACGAAAAAACACTGGTACTGAGTACCATTCTCCAATATCCCCAAGGGCTTTTATGTCTCAAAACAGACCAAATCAATCTATTCTTTATTGCTTTGATTATAAAGTAAAAACCGAACCGGCGAAATGAAGAAAGCTTGGATCAAACAAAGCGAGTATCTCTCAGATCAATCAAAACACCATTTAGAAGCAATCTGTATTCTAACAGTAACTTAGAAACATCAAAGATGGCACACTGTTTGACAGTGTGAGAATGTCAAAACTGTCAATGTTAAAACTGTAATTTCATATTAAAAATGTGTAATTATATGTCTGCCATAAGGCACTCACTCAAATAAACACGATGATCAAAATCAATGAAAATGTCAAATGTGCTTTGTTATATAGCTTTGAGCTATGAAAATCTATACTTTGACATCGTCTTTTGACTTTTGATTAGATATTCAACTGCGCAAGAAAGTCACAAAGGCAGAGCACCATCTTTCGGAAAATTGGCGTCGTGGATATCAAAGTAAACAGAAAAAAGGATGAAAGTGTGCTAAAAAAGTAGATAATAAAGTGTTTATTGTTTTTTGTATCAGGAATGAACTAAATGTTATCAAATTGTAATTTTATGCCATATCAAAGATAAAGTTTATCAAGGATTTTATACTATCAAATCAATTTGATATTTTGACAGGAAACTAAAACCGGAGACTATGACTTTAATTGAAAGCCATTTGAATAATTCAAAGTGTGAAATGTTCCATCTCTTTCATCTCTCCTGTTAAYATCAATGGCTACTACTAGGGTATTGACCCTTAGCAATTTAATAAAAGRCGAAGCCACAGCATCTCTATGTAAATGTTTCTCTACAGTTGATTTTAATTAAGCTTTACAAAAGATGGAAAAGCCTAAAAGTCGTATAAAATCCGTATTAAAAAAGAGATATTTATAATTTTGACCACATTATTTTAAAGTGAATCGATGTTKGCGTGTTCTTCATATTTATGTCAAATACATGAAAATTATACCGCAACAAACTCGCTATAGACAGTTTAGATTTGCACTTACCGCTTATAAACCGAAACCCCAATCTCTCGCTTCGAAACTTCCAGACATTTCCATGTTTCTCTTACAAGATATTTTTGATCGTACGTTAGCTCAACTGATTTGACCAGCTTCAGTATATCAACAAAAGGGCAGTTGGTTGGATAAAMTTGCATAGAACTTCCACAGCCCATGGTTCTTCACGAAAGACTTCAAATTAATACAGATTTGGTCGAGGAAAGGACTCACAAACAATGTTTGGTGCTACGTGAAGGAGAATCACGTAGAATACAGCATAATGAGYTAAAAGTATGTATTTCTTGACCATTCAAACAGATGTGGGTTACAAGAACGATACTTCTTGGTAAAGGTCARAATATCACCTTACAAAGATCTTCGATTGCTACCTTGGGATGATTGAACGCACGACTCTTGATTTAAGGAAGTAAAGTTCACTTTGAAGCTGATTAGTTGCGCSCCAAAAAAGATGGTRAAATCTTCCAAAATCTTGTAAATAAAATGACAAAATATGGACGTTTGTTTCTTTTTCGTCGTGTCAAAACCTAGTGTATTTGGACTTTATCAGTAGGCGTAATTTGTACACATTTAAGACCTTTTGTCATCCTTACACCAAATTGTGAATCATAAGATAAGTTATCTTTAACGAAATTCCCTGAAGGCTTAAAAGTTAAAATCAGATAGAAATATGCAAATTGCTAATTGTAAGAGTTTCCTATGATGGGAGCAGCATTTTGTGTATGTCAAGTGCCCAAGTGCCTGCACGATTTTAAAAAATCTGAATAGTAATTGAAATTTAAGGGTAGTCTATGACTGCATGTGGCTACAATCGCTACATGTATAACTGACGAAGTATGGATTCTGGCGTTATGTTCTAAAAAAAGCTAAAATTATGCGCTAAAATAAGTCGAAATTATAAAGTAAATTGAAAGTCAAAAAAAGCTCAAAAATTATCTCTCAAAACCTTTTAAATTTTGATCAATTACACCGTCCAAATCGTCCAATACAGAACCCAATTACAACCCATCGCAGTCATTCTGTTGTTTCGAACATCTCATTACGCCATTACGCCAGGAACGCCTGCCATTTCTGAACTGAAAAGTTTTAATATCTTTCTTTCAAGTCCAACAGCAAAGTGGCTTGACTAGCGTCTTACGACGCAGCCTAGCCACAAAAATTGAAGATAGTTATGAATGTTTCCTGTTAGAAAAAAAAGTTAATTAAACACAAAATAAACCAAATTAAGTTGGAATTGATAAAAACTCCATGGGCAACCGGCATTGAATGCGGTCGTGTTAATCAGGAAATCAGTACAAAAAACAGTGTTTTCCTATACGGACCTCCTTGCCGGCAAATAACATATAAATATTTTATTTGAAAAAAGGAACACAATCCCATCACTACAATTATGAATATAAAATCAAAATTTGGTACAGGTACCACCAGGTTTACTCGATTCAACGGTTTTTATTTCCAAAACAAATATTTCTACAAGTTTTATAAACAAAGTCATGGTTAAAGGAGCAGCCCGAAAAGTTCAACAAAGCTAATCCAAAAAAAGGTTTTTTTAGGTGATAGCAGAAAAAAGCATAATAACTACAATATTTACAACTATGCGGTGTTAAAAATTTGCTATCATGATACAATATATCCATTTAACAAATTTTACTCTCTGAAAGTATTTTCATGATATTCAGTCATTYATTTATTAGATTATCAACAAACTGGGTATTACAGTAGTATAGGATGTAAGGAATATACCTCTTCTTGGTGCAAATAGGGCTTATTGAAAATCGTTTTGTCTTAATGATATCGATTTTGTTAAATATGTTTAAATACTGTAAGGATATTGATTTACTGAACCCTTATAAAAATGACCCCCTCCCCCTCTCCCCCCGGTTTGCGTTTATCCCTGAAGGGAAGAAAAAAGGTCAAGGAAAAGGCATCATAACGTCCGTTTTAGACGTCGATCTTTTGTCGAGTTTAATCTAATTGTACTCTGAAATTATTGTCATTAGTAGATTTGGACAAACTTACTATAATCAGTAAATAGAAATCAATCGATGTAGACTGCAAACTTCTCGAGAACTGCATGTAAGCAATTAGATTAGACGCGTCAAAAGATCGACGTCTGAAATGGGCCTGAGTTCCTGAAATGAGAATACAAAAGATTTGATATAGGAATCTCCTATGGCGTCTCTTCTCTGTGTTCGGCACCAAACCAATATTCTGTGGTACTTTCATCTGTCATGCTTCCTCGGAACTTGGGATTGCTGTACGTACAATAACATCCAAAATTATTTTCCGAAAAGACGGAGTCAGCTTTTGCATCGAACTCGCAGGGAGATCTTGAGCTGTCAATATTGAAAAATTTCTTCTGCGTTTGGGTGATGCCAACTGWTATATCTGTTCCCTTGTGGCCCCTGATGCTTATGTACTTTACCTTACGACAATYATCMTTGCCAACAWTKCTGAMAACAGGAACATTTGACAAAKTGGCTTTAAAATAATCTAMAAAGTCTACTCCATGCAYAGGAAAACCAGTCGTGATTCTCAAATGTGTTGAGTGTTGAGAGAGGCGSCTCATTCGACCCAACRACAGTCGGTAAGCTTCCCAATTTGGATGATTTTCKTCAACTGGCRMATTCTTTTCCATCGATTTGCCGCARAATTCCATCATGTTTCGGTTCTTGAATGCAAAGGATAGTATCAAGGTCCAGGCAAAGCGTGGCTCTGAGGTGAGATCACAGAAGACTGGGTAGGAAGCCTCTGTGCCGGTRTCTGTGATGGTATAGATACCATTCTCCTTTGCTCCGTTACGAAGGTAGTCGAGGCACGAAGTGAATTCCTAAAGAAGCAAAACAGTTTACGTTATTAGTGCTTTTAAAAATATTCATTAATTTGTGAYAATTGAGTATACTTGCTGACAACTTTCTTTGATATGGCATAGTGTAAACTCTACGTAAGGTTAATACCAAAGTTTCTTAAATATTTTGACTAAAAGCCATTAAGTTAGAGCCTAAGATTTAAAATCACCTATATACCATACAATGGGCGATGATTCATTCCAGAATTCAGGTAATATAGATAATGAAAATGGAGGTTAGGTCACTATATTTGGAGCCATGAGAAAAGACCAAGGACATAAATTGACTGACCTCTGATTGGTCGAAATAATGAACAGAGCCAGCATCACGCTTAAGTGATTCTGAGTTGGTTTGTCTTGTAGCGTTATTCAACTGACAGATGTCATTGTCACCAGCCCTTCTAGCTTTGTAATTGTAAGATTTGCAGTTGTGATATGATATGCAGAAGAAACTGCAGTCAATTGGTGATGTCACGTCATGTGATGATATCACGTGGCCTTGGANCCGCTGTCATAGTCTCATGCGCAGAGACCTGACCCAAAACAAAAGAAAGCACGAAAAAATGTCATTACAATAATGGTGTTTTTGACGGGAAGGTTTGTCAACACAGCAAGGGATTTTTTCATCTTCATGGACGTCATTAGGGTCTAGATATAACGACACATCTCTTGACTTTCCAAACACTTGAATAATTTTGTCCCTTTACGCCGCTGTTTATTTCCACAATGACTAGCGTCTTACGACGCAGCCTAGCCACAAAAATTGAAGATAGTTATGGATGTTTTCCTGCTATAAAAAAAATTAATTAAAAACAAAACAAACAAATTGAAATTGATAAAAAGTTCATGGGCAACCGGCATTCAATGCGGTCGTCTTTTAGCTTTTTCGTATATGGAAAATCACTGGAAAAGTTGAACAATTTACAGAGTCTGTCTAGATTTACAGCAAATCATTCAACTTAATGTCTTTTTACAAACTTTGTAAATTGATTATACAAGGTATTTGCAATGCTTACTAGAGCGACATTTACAGAATGCACATAAAAGTTACAAACTTTGTAAATTATTCCGTTTTATTTTTTATTTATTTTTTTTTTTAATTTTTTTTTTCAGAGGAGATCCGATTACAAAAATTTCTCTATCTGTCCCACAGTTAGAAATAGGTTACACAATCAAAGAATTTGCGATAAGGATGAAAAAAATGTACGTGCGTTGCGTGACATGAAGTTGCGTGACGTGATCGATGACGCAATGTGTCTGTTGTTTTATAATGAAGTACCGGCGTATTGTCTTTTTTGTATAGTTTACAACATGAGATTGTAATTCCCATACAACATGGCCGCTAATGTTGTAAACGACTTATAAAACTCCAACACWAATTAACATGAATTACAGTGAGATAAATGACGAAAAATGACAATTAAGGTAACTGCTGAGTTTAGTCGCTATTAAGCATGCGCAATTTAGTCCCTATTGCATGCGCAATTTACTGCAACACAGAACATTTTGAATAATTATCCATCCCACATGGAAAGCAAGCCTTCTGTTGCATAACCGAGCTCTGTTATCCGTATTTGATTGCTTCACGAAAGTCTAGTGAAGGTCTATATGCGCTACTAAAACTGAGACCTTTGCTAGTGTTGGGTTGTCTCAAGGTGGCGACCGTATTGTAAATCTTATACAACACTAATGTTGTATCACAGTGTTATATTAGATTTACAAGGTCAATCACCTGATTAAGTGGACAGCCCTTATTGGAGTAATAGCTCATGCATTATTAATAAGTTTTATAATGCTGGTTATTTTTACATTGCAAGCACCCAAAATGTCCTGAAAAGATTAAAAAATTAGTTCATC